GCGCATACAAATATTTTGGTAGCCATGTGATTTCTCATGTCAAATTAAAGGGTGTGTGCACATTTAGTACACATTTTTTTCTAACCCCCCAACACACATGTACCTTTTTAGTTTGAGCATATAAAGTCATATAACATACTTATTTATGACAGTACTGCCTAGAGATCTGCACGGTGTGCCCAACACTGCAAAGCTTCTGAATTATTCAGGTGTTCTCCATGTTGTACTGGTGAACTTCAGTAGAACAGCTCTTCCACTGAAAGGAGGTAAATGGGGAAAGTACAACACAGAGGATTTCTGAAAATTCAGCCAGTGGTTGTGCAGCACAAGAATAATTAATAAGATGTTTCCCAAAAGACAATTGTCTTGCCTTAAGATATATTATTATTGTAAATAAAAAATTTTAAACGGTAGATTTATTTTGTTGCAGTATGTTAAGGAACATGCGTTAACATATTTTATAGGAGGGCAGCCCATTCATTTTAACAGCCTGCCAATGCACACCAACACAGATTTTAGCATTTCTGCACTTCACTACATTTAGGGGTGTATTTATAAAATTGTATAGCTCATTCATTCAATGAAACTGAAGGTATATTCATTCTGTGCAAGGTAACCAACTCTTGTGAGAATAGGGTGCAAATTAATTTTCTTAGTGCGATTTATTTTCTGGTCAAATGATTAATATGTTCATTCATACAGAAAAGATTGCATGGGGAAAATACGGTATTATGGCCACTAGATGGATCTGAGGATTACATGAAATACATGTTAGTAACAAGACACAATTCAATAGAACACTGGAGAGACTGAGCATATAAATGTAACCATTGCTATCCCTGTAGCATCAGTAGTCTCATTTACATGCTTATTCCCTTGAGCAGTCAATTGAAATCTAACATTGTATTTGCTTACGAACATGTTTAATTCCTAGGATTTATAGCTTCATTTAGTGTCCATAATGCAGTATTTTCTCAATTTCTTTTGTTCTGTATGATTATACCTATTGAAGAGCATTTGACCAGAAGAGGAATTACAAAAAGAACATTTGTTTTTGTCCCATTCTCACAACAGCTGCTTAGCTTGCACAATTTATATGCAGTTTCACTGGATAAATAAGCTATACACATTTATTTTTATGAATAAAACTAGGGATGTTTCGATACCAGTAAATGCCCCCATACCAGCGTTTACATTTTTCAATTGAAGCGGCTCCCATAAGGTCCTGCACTTGCTGGGACCTCATGGCAGCCTTTTTGGGAACCAAGCAGCGCCTATTTACAGCACCGGCCTGCATATCTCCCCCTCCTGAGACCCTCTGCCCGAGACATTAGGCCAGCCCCCCGGAGCAGAGGGCCAGCACAGAGTATGTATGTATATATATATGTTTTGGGGTTTTTTTTTCTCACAGTAGTATTGTTCACTATAATATTTGTTTTTTTGCACATATTATTTGTTTACTTGTTGGGTGATAGCGCCGCTTCACATATTTGGATGATATTAATGCAGGCTCATGCAGCCAATTTAAGTGAGCAGCTGCAAGGAGTAACGCCCAGTTTTTCTTAGATTAAATCGAGCGCAGAAGCCCCTGTAGATAATATAATTCTGTATTGCTGGGATATGTAGTGCTTTGCAATAGCCAATAGCAGGCTGGCTATTGCACCCACCCACTAAGCAGACGAGTGGTTGCTTGAATGCTGGATAATGGGGAGTTTACTGTACATATGCTGCAGTAGGTAAGACCACAGCTTTTAGCAAGTATCTGCTCATGCTGACTTATTGTGTACACTAGCAGGTTATCTATTGATTGAGCATAAAAAAACATTTATAATGTGGATATTAATCTGCTGGCTAGATGCTGTTTTTGCATTTATGCAGCATGAATGTGCTTTTGCACCAATTTAAGATGCTTTATGCAGAAACCTAAAACAATGCATGGAAGCTGGAATCTTTAACACCGTTCTCTTACTTTTCCCCTGAACTTTTATTGATTCTCTTTTTCTACACAATTCAACACTCAAATCTTCTCCCTGATGAATAAATCAACACCTATGTGTACGCTTCAAAGTACCATAGCAATCAGTGGAGTATACTAGATTCATTAAAAAAACAGTTACTAACCCTATTGGCTCTTTAGCTATTTTGCGGTCAGTGTCCTGACTATTTTCTAACTGGTAGCTAAACCTATATTTCACATTTAGTATCCAATGTATACCTTAACCTTTACCCATCCACCACTTGTATATAAATGGATGGATGGCTCCTTCTTGAATGTGGGCTGCTGTAAATAATGGCTTTAAAAATGTAAACATTTTATACAAGCGTCAATGGCTGTTACATACCAGCGTTCAGGCAGCTATAGAACTGCCCAGTCGCTTGTATGGTGCATGGGAAAGTGCGGCCCCTCCTCCGCCTATGCCAGGGCCTGGGACCAGCATGGCAGGTCTGTGTACATTGATTGGAGGGAGATGAACACACTTCCAACAGCAGATCTGCCCTCCAACCACTGAAAGCCAAAGTAAAGTTAATTACATTACTTCTGCTTTCAACCTGTGATTTCTGTGGTTGCTGTAGCCACAGAAAAAGCTGGTGAAGCAGATCTCTGCTTCTTTGGGGGTCCATAATAGACACCTGATATCTCCATAAAGAGGACCCATCACTGTATCTGTGCTATCATGTAAACGGATTGTCAGCCCCCTTTGTGGTACTAAAAAAAAATGTAAACTGTATTGCTATTTTTTTCTATATATAAATTAAGAATAAAAAATCCAATTAGTGATTAAATACTACCAAAAGAAAGCCATCTGTCCCAAAAACGCGATATAAAATTCATTTCGGAACAGTGTTGCATGAATGAATTAATGTCAGTCAAAATGCCTTAGTGCTGAATACTGTAAAATGGCCTGGACAGGAAGGGGGGTTAACACCCCGGTCTTCAAGTGGTTAAATAAAAATGGACTTAAAACTTTGTTGTTGTTGTTAGTCCACAAAAATGCAATAAGCACTGGAAAGCACATGCTTAATGCATAAAACTGCTTATAGTTCTAGAAGTGCATGCTTGTCTAACAACAAAAAAAGGATATTTTCTCTGTTATTCAAAAGGCAAGACATTTGGATTTTTAAGCCCCTACCCCCTTCTGGCATCATAAACTGATCTTTCCTTCACTTCAATGATTTGACAGCAGCAGTTTCCTATCCCCGTGGCTGCCATTCGAATGTAACAGTGATACTCTTGCAGAGATTTTATAGCTCATGGGACAACATTCTAAGTACCTGCAGACTCATAACTGGGGTTGGTAAATTCTGCAGTTAACCCTTACGGTTTAGGAACAAATGGTAGCCACCATGTGTTTTAACGGAAACAAGCACAGATCGCAATATCTGCTATAGCAATTTTGACAGTTAAGAAAAGTCAGTGGACTCGCTGTCACACCAAACAGGAATACAACAAAGTTTAAAATATGGTAAATAATGAGGCAAGGATTCTTAAATAACTAATTCGAGCATTTGGAGAATCAGCTTAACAATTTCTAAATATAGAACGTTATGAAAAGAGAAATGGTGCAATGCAATATTTACAAAAATAATATACAATAGGAACAGTAAAATAAATGGGATTAACAATGAAAAGCATTTAGCAAAGACTGCAATCCGCTTTAGAGTAGTTTCCATTCTGACATTGAGTCACTGGCCCTCAGAAATGACTCAACACTCTAGCATCATTTTGGTGTTCAAATGAAAGCTACAGCTTTACCAAGTGCAACAGATTTTTTTTTTACCCTCCACAGAGTTTTTACAGAAAGAAATGACATGACCAATGCAAGGGTGTAAGGGGTATTGAAGCGTTTTAGGATATTTCAGTAGACGCTTCATCAAGGCCAGAAATGCATTAATATTTCCAGTTGACCATGTTTAACAGTCTGACAACCAAAAATATAAATTGTCTGTGAAGGTTCTAATTCATCCAATTCATGGTATATCTGTAAAAAATAAGTCAAGGCAAGAAAAATACAGCAAGTCCAGTTGCCTTGACTTATTTTTTTACAGACAAAAATATAATTGCACGGAATAAAATCACAATAGACATCAAATATTATATAAACCGGATGCACATATCACCTAGAAAATGTAATCTGGCCAATCTGCCTTCTGGACATTATAGCATAGGTACGTGTAGTATCTACATCATTGTATTTGCTTATACATATTGATAGACACGGAGTAGGAATTTACTGTCATCATATCAGGATTTGTGAAATACGAAGAAATGTGTATTGCTTTAAACCATCCCTGGAATGTTTCAATGACTATTTTACAATAACTATTAGCAAGCTCTGGCTTAAAGGAGGTTTTGTGCCATTGTATGGATGTTAAACTGAAAATAAGCACGATTTCAAAAGAACATAAAAAATTACTTTTTTTTTATCATTCAATATGTATTAATTTTCTAAATTGTATTTTTACAGTTAAAATGATTGTTCATTCAAAGCTTATGTATGCACAGCCTAGGCTGTATGATTATTAGTACTCCAGGGCAATAGAATGAAACAGTTTCATTACAAATGATCTAACTTGCTCTAATCTGCCATAACACTTGGGGCCTGAATAATCACAGAATTCCTTCTGACTTTCAAAAAGGCACTCATAGCCTTTTAAAAACGTTTCTAAGAAGACTGACATAGAAAACCTTTTGCTCAAGTATGCATCATATCACCCTGTATAATCTAATAGTTGAAGAGAATGTCTATAAAATGATGTTGAGTAGTAAACAGAGACAATTTCAAAATAACATACAGAGGCATTATTAAGGAGAGCACACCGGGATGGAATGCTGCCTAGAATTTCAACTATGTATTGCCAAAGAATGCATGTATATTTTAAACACATGGGGCCATTCCTTCTTAAAATACTACTGAGCTATAGTGAGGAGAAAGCATTTTATAAGTCACAAATGCAAAGAACACCTTTTATATATTATGGTTTGTTTTTCTTTTGAACAGATATTCCTTTGGATGAGCTGAAAAAGATGCCCCAGCTATCATCTGTGAATGTCAAGATGAACCCTGTACATAAAGAATGTCTGAATCTTAGTGATGTCAAATTTGAATTTGCCCTGTAAGCAATGGAAGATAGCTTATCGGACCTAGGAAAAAAAATCAACTGGAACATGTCTTTCTGTTCAAGAAGACAATGGTGAATAAATTCAAGCTGGTGTGAGCAATCATTTTAAATTATGGGTGTGCCTTTTATGCGTGACTACCATTGGTTACTGGAATATATATACTGTATATATGTAGTGATTTATTAAAAGCATTTTAAAATCATCTTGTTATAAGATTTACTTTTTCTTGGTTGTTTACTTCTTAGTCAGAATATATTCTTATGACATACAAGCAACTTCCATCTTAAACCACCCGCACTGCAAGAACTAAGTGCTGGTTTTGATCTAGGTGCAAAAATAACAGATATACTCACCCAAACCTTGCAACCAGCTGGCTGTTAGAGCATCTCCTCCAGCCTCTGCTGCAGTGATGGCATGTCCCTCGGCATCCTCACGTCCTATAGGACATGATGACTCATGGGTCCTTGGACCGCCGGTGAGGCTGGAAGGACCAGCCTAAGAACCAGCTGGCTCAGAGGATCGAGTGAGTATAACTGTTTTTTTTTGCAGCTAGACCAAAACAAGCACTGAACCTTTGCAGTGCGGGATAGCCCAACTGCAAGGGTTAATAAACTTTTTGCCTTGAGTTCTTCTTTAAAGACATACAAGTGATCAACAACATCACAGCAAACACGTATAGATGCAGATCATGTAGAAGTCACATACTCTGGTACCAATCTGCCCCCGAAACTCAACATAATGCTGAACTCCAGGCACACAGGAGTGAAGGCAGAAAAGACCAAGTGGCCTATAGATTCTGCCTATTTTTTTGTCAGTGCTAAAGCTGAATGTTTGGTGGGCACAGTATGTCTTTTTGAGGATTTAAAGTTGTGCAATATGGTTGATATTCCTATTGGTGTAATGGAACATAATTTGGCATTCCTGGAAGATTGGTCAAAGCAGTGGAAACTGCAGTTAAACTTCTCTAAATGCAAAGTAATGCACTTAAGGGAAAAAAAAATCCTGTACAATACTGGGGGTACAGTGTTGGCCAGAGCTACAGAGGAAATAGATTAAAGGGTGCGCCTTTCAGATAATTGCAAAATGATCAAAGAGTGTGGTCTGGCAGTGGAGAAAGCAAATGGAATTCTGGGGTGCATCAGAGGGATCACCAGCAGGATGAAGTAGGTCTTGATTCCCTATATAGACCTTTAGTTAGGCCTCATTTAGAATACTGCGTCCACTTCTGGAGAGGTCACTTACAAAAAATATTATAAAGATATTGAGAAGATAAAACAAGTCCAGAGAAGGACAACAACAATGATGAAAGGTCTCAGGGATAAAACATATCAAAAAAGAGACTGCAGGAAATTAATATGTACAGTCCAGAGGAAAGATGGGAAAGAGAAGACCTGAGTTCCAATAGAGCTAGTAGTGAGTCAGTCAAATAGTAGTAAGTCAATTAAATAGGTTGAGCTGCAGTTTCCACAGCTTTGACTAGTCTTCCAGGAATGCCAAGTTATAGTCGATATTACACTTTTAGGAATATCAACCATATTGGACACTTATGTCATCAGCAAAAAGACATACCTTGCCCACCAAACCTTCAGCTTTAGCACTGATGAACAGATTAAATAGAACAAGACCTACAGGGTTATTCACAAAAGGGTGAAGAGTTTGGAGAAGTGAACAATCTAGGCCAAAATAGCGGATTTGGAAAAATTCTCTAATTCAGCTCACTTTCCAGTTCAGCTATTTTGTCCTAGATTGTTCACTTCTCCTTCCTTCTCCAAACTCTTCACCCTTCTGCGAATAACCCTGCTAGTGTAGAGCCTGGTTGTTCCGAATGAACTCGTTACAACCACACTCTGATATCTATTTAGCCACTGAGCCACCCATGGTTAAGTCCTACTCTGTACAACTCCTATTTATATCATCATTCTGTGGAACCATATCAAATACTTGGCTGAAATCAAAGTAACGTGTCCAAAACATGTGATCTGGTCGAAAATTCAGTCAAGATTATTCTGACATCATATGTCCTCAGTAAAGCCATGCTGCCTTGGATGCAGCAAGATATGCGTTTTTAAATCATTGTGATCCTTCTTTATTGGGGTGATTCCATTAATTTGACTACAACAGATGTTAAACTCACTGCCCTGTAGTTGCCTGCTTCTTCCTTACTACCCCACTTGTGGAATGGTACAATGTCCGACAGTCATGGGGAATTTCTATTAGAAGAGATAGGGCCTAACAACTAAACCGCAACATTCTCTTAGAACTCTGGGATGACTGCCACAAGGCCCCTATGCTTTATTAAACATTAAGTGAGCCTATTTATCAGCTGCCTCTAGCAACCCTGAAAGTTAACTGTCATCACTAAAACCAATATGATACTTGGCGTTATATGCTATAACAGCCAAGAGCGGGTTTACATTGTATTAGTGGCATAAAAAGGGATACTGCTAAACTCCAGGAAACAGCTAATTACACAGATGAAAATTGCCATGGTTTTTCTATTTCTGTCCATCCAGTTCTGAGATTTACTACACAGAAAAACCATTTCTAGCAGGGAAGGAGACCTGATCCGCTGCAGTTTCATTTACAGGTCTCCGCTCATAGGTCACCCTATGATGGAACAATGAAAGAGCAGCAAACTGATCAGCTCATCTCTCTGTCACTCTTATTTGCTCCTTGCACTGCACTACATTTGCTTGACTCCATGTGCTGCTTCTCCCTCCCTCTCTCTGAGCTCTTTTGTACAGTAGACTGCAAGAGGATAATACCAAGTCAAATTCAGATACGTAAACTACTCTCTCCCCAGGCATGCCTCATCCTACATTCCAGAAGAGGGGAGGAGTCCGGTGATGTCACGGACATCAACGTCACCGGACTCTTCCCCTCTTCCCTTCATTAGTCGTCACGGACATCAACGTCACCGGACTCCGGCGGAGAGGTGAGCGTTTTCATTAGCGATCAAAATAATTTTAATCAAATCAAAAAGTTTAACGATTAATCGAGAAATTAATCTTTAATTTCCACAGCCCTAGTTAAAATGGCGCCGTCCGAGTTGAGCAAATTAATCGTTCATTATTGAACACCCAAGGCCATCTAGTGAGGGCAGAAATGCAGATTTTTGTTTTATTACTGAAAGGAGGGTTAAGTTTCGCTTAAACTGATCCAGAAGTACAGACATGACAAACATCAGCAGAACAATAATAATTAAACACTTGAGGATTTCAAACATAAGAGATATGTCCTAACAAACTTCAACAAAGATTCCAGGACGCATTTCCCATGTTCAACTTCTCTCCCACTGCCATTGCTCCCCTGTCACTATTACTGGCAATTGGCAGCTGTCAAAATGACTATTATACAGGAGAGGCAGTATTTTGACAGCCGCACCTGCTATGTAGCTATGTGACAGCCGCACATAGTCTGCAAATGTCATCTTTTGTCACATTGTAATTACTATTTCCTTCATATGTAACTAATTCAGTTGTTGTTCTATTTAAATGCTAATTAACTTAGCCAGCTCCTCTGAAACACTGGGTAAACAGGAAGTGATGTTGGCAGGAAATGGAGGAAGACTGAGTGAGATCACACAGACATTAGTATGTGAAGAACACACAAAGGTGCAGGATCGGGTGGAGGAAGGAGCAGCCATTCCTAAACTCCCTGACCAAGCAACTTCATTGACGATCTTGAAACATGCATCAGCCATCAAAACAGATTGAAGTTTCCAATTTAAATCTAAGTAACAATTACAATAAATAATTGTGTATAATATTGTTATATGCATAAAAAAAACCAAGGGTAACTATAGATTGTTTATGGTTTATTGCTTGTGTATAAATAGATTCACTGGTTTCCTTTAAACTTCTGTACACCTTTTTACATATTTAATCAAGTAAAGATATACTTTTACACGTTTTTTGTGTAAATACCTGTACTTACTCAAAGATGACTGTGCACCCTGAGACTAATACTTACACAAAGCAAAACAATGTTGCATTAAAAAAAAAAATGCAAAAACAAAAAGTGTAAAATTGAAAAACTGCTAATCACTTTGCCATGCTTTGTACCAGCGACATAATTTTAGTGTCATTTTAAATGGGGAAAAAATATAGAATAAAATGTATACTTTTTATTTACAGTGAAACTACTTTTTTTTAAAATCTCACTGGTCAACATATAAAAATATATATTTTTTCTTTACTTTTTTTTTTTCTATAGGTTACATAAAAAACTTTTTGCAAAACAATGTTTCCAAAAGAGAGCCTAGTTTGTCCCCAATAAACCAATGTATATCTTACTAAGTAATGACAAAGTTATTGCTGAAAAATCAGGCCCATAGTGGAAATGTAAAAATTGCTCTGGTCCATAAGAGGTATAAAAGGTACAAGAGCTGAAGGGGTAAATGTAGTGTCATCACTCCTCAGTATATTGCTTATGGCAGTTTTAGCACCTGAAATTCAAAACTGACCAACTGAACAATGACCTGCAGCCTTTATTGCCCACACTACCGGAGATCTGCTAGCATTCACTATTTTTTTATATAGGGAAAGGCTCTCCGAAACATCTACCATTCCAGGATGTGGACTAGGATCATTTGTGGCCACCCTAATCTCTATATAATAATAGGATTGTACAGACCCATACACATAGACTTAATGCTGTGTTTGTTTCCAAAGGTGCATCTACTAAATACTGACTTGAAGGGGTGTATACTGACTTAATTAGTTTTGTATGTGTATAGGCCAATGTAGTTGGATCTGTATGTGCGTTATAATTAATCAAAATGAATCGATTAAAAATGTTTTCGATTAATCGAACATGAAAATTTTATTACCAGCCCTAGTTTTTATTGTAATTACTTTAAAGGACTTTGCAGACATTTGATATGGAAGAGACTAATTTTGTTAAATCAGAATCAAAACAGACAAAATTAAATCCACCGAGATTCAATGACCTATGACAATAAAACAAAGGGAGTGATTTTTTTTTATGGGACCGGACGGGTCTGAGGAGGGTTTCGGTGTGGGTAAGTTATGCCCCGATCGTCGCTTTCAGTCGCCTCGAGGCCCGTTGCTGCACGGAGCTCTAGGCAGAAGCGTCCATGCAGCGCGCCAGCAAGCCACGCCCCCTCGATTTTTTTTATTTAATGAACTGTAAATAGCTCGGGAATCTTTTAACTCCAAAAAGACTTTATGCTGCTAATAC